CTCTGTCTCCGGGGCTGGGCGTGTTGTTTGTGTTGAAGGAGGATGCTGAAAGGAGCCTCCTCGACTGGCTGTTGTGTATTGACCTCACCCTAGATAAATGCTTATTGAGTTTATATAATATCAGATTTATATAAGTGAATTCTGGAAGAAGACAAGCAAGGAGGGTGGGACCAAATTCATCCTTGGGCAAACTACCGAAGTCATTGGGATTATACCTGAGGTGCCAGTCTCCATTTTTTAAAAACTGGAAATTAAATCTTCCTATTTTATGTCTTGCATGATTATTAAACAGGTATTTTAACACTGTATGTAAAGTATAATTTTGCATTCCATTCAGGCTCTACCCAGCTTCTATAGATGTTAATGGAAAAAAAAAATCATATTGGTTAGTTCTGTGAAACTGACCTCAAAATTCCCTTCTGTATAACGGTCTATGAGCAAAGACACAAAGACTTAAAAAGTTTATTGTTTCATGCTAATGTTCCAGAAAAAAGTAGATAAATGTCCTTGAAAGATTTTAGAATAGGCAAAACTCATTGCAGTGTGATTATTTCTGCATTTATAAATGGCTGCTTTCCTACAAACATATTTATGGTATCAGAAACTACTTCGATCTTGTTAGCATACAATACTTTAACTCTCCATTTAAAGTAAAGACACTCTATTTGTGAATTACAGCCTTTTAACTGTTAGTCAAAGTTGACATTTTAAAATTCAATGCAATGAATGATAAGTTAGCTTCTTTTGTGGGGTTGTGGCAGTTCCCATCATAGCATCTTTGTGTCTGTCACACTGTAAGGAGGTTACTACTTGTCTCTGCTCTTGTTTTCTGGCTTTGCTTGCTCCTGTTGCACACCTCTTTCCTACTGAGACCTACCAAGAATGATGGGAATAATTTTTAAGAACCTGATCCAAACCCTTGGGGTAAGACTCTTCTAAGGACTAAGGATCAGCCTCTTCCAGACTTCAAGTTCTGTAAAGAACTAGCCTGCTGAGACTCAGACTCTTTAGTTTCAAGGTTTTTTTTTTTTTTTAGTCTCTGTGGCCAAAGAAATCAGATCTGAAAAACACCTCTTCACTGATGCTCTACAACTGTTGTTGCCAACAGCTTTTTTTCCAGTGTGGTTATGCCAGTCCAAATGTTAAGTGACTGAAATAGTGATCAAAAGAGGAATTCTGGCTTCCAGTTTATATAGCCTTGCATTATGACAGTGTCCCTATTGCATTGTCTGTTTGTTTTTTTTCATGTTGTTAACTGGATTTTTCCTCTGTGATTTCCATTATAACTTTAGCTGTTATCTAGTCTTATCTGAGAGACTAATGATTATTTACTATTCTAAATGCTTTCAATCCCCTCCCAAAGTAACTCAAATCTTAAAATGTTCAACTTCCTCATGATTGATGATATCCTGAATTAACAATTTTTGCAACTGCAGGATTTTTGATGTTATATATGAATATACGAACCATCTGATGCAGCTGGTTATTTGCTTTTTTTTTTTTTTCCAGTTCATTAAGTTGCTCACAATAGACATAAATGGAAAAAAATTTGCTGCATTTTGGGAGGAAATGCTAAGAAGTCTTAATGAGTGTCATACTTCTAAAGTATATTTATGGTGTATTTTCCAGAAGAAATATGTATTTTTGTTAATACCATCACTCTGTTGACTTAAAAAAAACCCCCAACTATTAGCCACCAGGGGTATGCGTAAGTTTATACATATCTTGTCTGTAGATACGAAAAAATCTAGCTAGCTTAGAGTTGGGTAGTTACTGCGCTTCTCTTTAAAAGTATTTATACTGATGAATGGGAAAAAGACATGCTTTTTTAAATAGAGTTTTATAGTTTATAGGCATTCAAGAACTAGACCAATAGTCTTTTTGTTAAATGTCCTCTCAAATCCAAAGTAAGCTTTGATTTGGCTGTAATATTAATGTAAATGAATAAAGATGAGCTCTGTGAGTCAAGGCCAAAGTGAGGAGGAACATAGCAGCACAAAGGAAAGAATTAGGTGAAGGAGGACTAAATGATTTTGCTTGTTGAGTCTGGATTAAAGACTTTAAAACAATGGTGGGCTTTTCATGAATCAAAAGGTTTAAAAATAAGCAAATTCCTGCCAAATAAAGAGAAGATTTTTTTTTGAGGATTTCTGATTCTCCAGATTAATTAAAATTGTTCCATGTCAGTCTGTAGCTGGTTGTAAAATAGTTCTAGAAAAGAAGGCTTCAACTTCCAGCTACCTAAAACTAAATGGAGCATGTCCTGGCTTTTGACAGAGGTAACATTCCTCAAGAAGCTTGTCTTTTCAAGGCTTTTTCTTTCACTGGTTAACCATGCTCTGTCTCCATTGCTTAGAAACATTGTTATGTATAAAGGCAAGAGAAGTCTGGTCTTCAGAATATACCAGCAGCCTTGCAGAATCATCTGGGTTTTTTTTTCCTAGATTCATGGGTTTTAATCTCATTTCAAGTCCTGACATATGATCAGGTGGAAATTTATGGAGCACATTGTTTTGATAAAAATGAAAGCTGGAGGAGAATTCTCTTCCAATAGGGATCTACAGTTACTACTTCTTGTTGATGTCCAAGTTCAATTTCTAAAAACAGTTTTAGGTTGTTTTGTTTTCCTTCCACCTTCACACTGTAAGGTTTGGGTATGGTACCCTGTTTCTTGACCTGAGTTTTAATTGATTTTTTTCTTTTTTCCCTTGTCATTCTTAGTATTGTTAAATAAAGCCTTCCAACACTTTGAACACTTGCAATCATGAATGCTGGAAGTGTACCAGACTGCCACTAATAGAATAGTTGAAATTATTTCACTTAGTGGGCTGCACCTCTGAGCAACCTGATCTAGTTGAAGACGTCCCTGCTTATTGTAGGGGGGTTGGACTAGATGACCTTTAAAGGTCCCTTCCAACCCAAACTATTCTATGATTCTACCTCTTCAGACAAATCTGGTAGAGTGCTTATCTAAATAGCAAGAAACAGGACTGCAGGTAGACCTGCCTAGGTGCTAATGAGAGTAAAAAATTGTTCTTTCAACAAGCAAAAATGCCAAATATTTGAAGGAATTAGATTATCATTGGTATTTTCTGAATTATCCTCTTTATGAATAATAAGTTAATCAATGTTCACTGACACCAGTGGAAACACACGTACTGTGTATGCCGCCTTCAGTGGGTTCCATATTAAGGTTGTAAACTTCCCAGTGTTATGGCCGATAATTTTACAAGGATGGGGATGGGTAAATGGAATTATGGAAGAGTGGAAATAGTTTGTCCTTAACAAGAATTTTATGTGGACATTTTTAATTTACAAAAACATCAGGTAAAAAATTGTGAGAAAATCACAATTGTGATTTTCTGAGATCACAAATGATTCTCACAGTTGTGAGAATTATGAGCACAGAAATGGCTACCACTTGGCTTTGTTCTTTTGTATTGCCATTGCTAGGTATGTAATGAAAACTCTAAATATTAATAAGAAATAATAGTAAACCCATGGTAACATTAACAGTGTAAAATATATTTTTCAATGTGTCTATTATGTATGGTTCTGTGGACTTCTGATAAAAGTCTTAAGCAGAATTGTGCAATCTTTTATTTTTTTATTTTAGTTAAGGAATACAGTTAAATGTAATGAGTGAGTCTTTATTTTGCTCATGAATGCCCAGGAAGAAATGTCACATCTGGAAAAACAAGAACACAGTTAACTAGATCCCTCAAAGTGAAAACTGAAAATTTTATATTTGCAACACTGTTGTGGCACTGAAGAGAACACTGTATCTTCCATCAAAAACACGGTGATAGCACTGACTAGAATATTTTACTACGTCCTTTAGCAATAACATTGAATAAAACATTATTTCCTCCAGCTGCAGCTGAGTATAGCAATGCGTAGCGTACGATGCCACATACAAAGACATGATCTTGATTTTCGTTTCTACATTCTTAGTTTTATTTTTTCCTATATGAAAACACAGCAAAATGTTATTGTTAGAGAAGTGGGAAAAATCCCTACGCAATGAGAGATTTTCTTTTTATTGCTGGGCAGTGTGAAATGTTGAGATTATGCTTGGAGGAAGCTTTACAGTAGTTCTACTTAAAAAGAAAAAAAAAAAAAAACAACTTCAGGACTAATTCTGTGAACTGGCATCTGCTTTATCCAATTGGAAATTCTTCTAATCTGTGAATGGATGGGTGACAAAGTAATTACTTTAAAGAGAAGCATATACTTCTTAACGTACCTGGATTTTAGGAGTTTAGATCCCTGCTTCATGCTGAACCAAAGTAGCCAAAACGCAAGTACATAAACATTTTGTATTGTGCAGTGTTTTTCCTTGTACGGCTGTGCTTTGATCTGCTAATTTTCTGACAGCTCTGTTTCTTTTAGTCTTCTCTGTCTCCCCATGTTTGTATCCAAAGGGATGAAGGGTTAGTCATTTGGATTTAGGTAAATTAGGAAGTTTTAGCTTTGAGCTCTCCAGATTTCTGAAGAGAAAATTACCTGGTTAAACATTGTTGTCGTATTAGATTATTTCTAAATAAGAAGTCAGCCTATGACTGAATACTTGTATAAGACTTTATAGAATGATAATTTTTATTTAAATACTTTTTGCATGCACCTTATGCTATAAGCCTTGGTCTTGCAAGCACTTAATCACATGAAAAACTTCACAGTGTTACCAGAGTGCTTCCTGGGTTACAGATACATCTTATTTTATCTCATTTTTCTTGTACTCTGCATTATTTTAATTTTATTACTTTTTTTTGTCTGCAGACATCCTGAGCTTGATACAAGCCACCATCCCAGGCAACCAGGTAAGCCTCCAGACCCGGGAGCACCAAGTTTAAGTAAAAGCAGAACGGTAGATGTGCTGAAGACAGAACAGCGGGCACCTGGACGGAGTCCTTCTTCTATAAGTCTAAGGGAATCAAAATCCAGGACTGATTTTAAAGAAGATCAGAAGCCAAGTATGATGCCCAGTTTTCTGTCAGAAGCCAATCCATTGAGTGCAGTCACTTCAGTTGTGAACAAATTCAATCCTTTTGATTTGATATCAGATTCAGACACAGCCCATGAAGAAGCCGGTAGAAAACAAAAAGTTACCCAGAAAGAGCAAGGGAAACCTGAGGAGCAGCGGGGCCTTGCAAAACATCCAGCTCAACAACAGTCTCCAAAGCCAACTCTTCAACAACAAGGGCCTGCCAGACCTACGCCCCAGCAAACGGAGTCTTCCAAACCAGTGCCTCAGCAGCAGCAGTCTGGGGAGCCAAAGCAAGTTCAGAAACCAGGCCCTGGTCACCCAGCAGACCCTAAGCTAGAGCAAGCGAAACAACCACCCCAGCAGCGAGGACCACAAAAATCTCAGCCCCAACAGTCAGAACCAACAAAGCCTGTTCAACAGCAAACTTCAACAGCAAAACCTTCATCAGGCCCAACAAAACCACCGCCACAGCAACCAGACAATGCTAAAACATCATCCCAAGCACCACCTCCCACAAAACCGTCATCGCAGCAGCCAGGACCTGAGAAACAACCATCTCAGCAGCCGTCACGGCAAGGAGGTCCTGTAAAGCCATCTTCCCAGCAAGCAGGGCCTCCAAAACAGCCTTCTCAGCAACCTGGACCTGAAAAGCCATCTGCTCAGCAAACGGGACAACCATCGCAGCCTGGACCTGGGAAGCCACCTCCGCAGCAAACAGGGCTTGTAAAACAAGTGCCACCACAGGCAGGGCCTACAAAACCATCTTCGCAGACTGCAGGGGCCGCGAAGCCCCCAGCACAACAACCAGGACTTACAAAACCACCAGGCCAGCAACCCGGGCCTGAAAAACCCCCGCAGCAAAAGCAAGCCGGTGCCTCCCAGCCCGCTGAGTCCGCCCCAAAGAAAACCTTCTGTCCTCTTTGCACAACCACCGAACTGCTGCTGCACGCTCCGGAAAAGGCCAATTACAACACCTGCACACAGTGTCACACCGTCGTCTGCAGCCTCTGTGGATTTAATCCTAATCCTCATATAACAGAGGTGAGTGGTGTTTAAACTGATGTTCGCTACCGGAACACAAAATTAAGTTTATCTTCGTTATGCTGAAACATCAGGTGTGTTACAGTGTATCACCATGATCACCTAAGGCCTTAACAAGTTCAGTGAAAAAAACCCCATGCTATTTGGGAAAACTGCTTACCAGTATAAGAGGGTGAAATTGGGGAAAAAAGAAGGTAGTGGTTCTCTGTTTGTACAGTGTTTAGGAGTGTGTTCTCATTTCTTCATTTAAAAAGAGGAAGAACGCCAATGTGACTTTTTAGCCATTTTGCTTGATTTTAAGCACTTGCTGTCTACATTTATAATCTGACCACAGTAGTCATGTGCTAATATGTTTATAAATAAGTAAAATTTGCTGCTATAAGAACTAACTATGAAAAAAAAAAAAGAAAACTACTCTTCATAGTCCCAGTGTGTGTTTTGGAAAAGGATGAGGAATGGATTTGCTTTGTAACTGTGTGAGTGTTCATTAGCTGAAAGCCTGAGTCATGAGTTTTGACTTGGTGATACTCAGGTTATTTCATTCTTGTGGGATGCTAAGAAGGAGATCTCTGTGGACTATTTCTAACGTTGATCACCATTCATGCTGTAATTATGTAACAGAAATGGTGTAGAAAGTAATATTAGGACTTCAAGTGAATTTATTTTAACTTGATGATTGCGGTAGCTTGATTTATGTGCTCGTACATATCCTTTACTTGCTCTGGGTGGGAATAAAGCTTCATATGAATGTCTGATCTCTTCTTATTGCTTGTACGGCTTCTCATACATCCTGATATGCTAATTTTAAAATTGCACTGTATTTTGGGTTTGTTTTCAGTGCCAACACTTTTATCAATTTATAGAAATTCAAGTATAGCAGACCTGGCACTGAAGACTAAGTAGTGATAAATAGCCAGAAGGGGTATTTGGGAAGCTTATTTTTGTCTTGTTTTGGTATTAGTTTAGCTGATCAGAGATGCTGATAGGAAGAAGTACAGACTGCTACTATATCTTGAACCTGACAATTAATATCCCTACACTTAAAATCATATCAAAGAATTGCAGAGGCTGGAAGTGTCCTCTGGAGATCATGTAGTCCCACCCTCTGCTTAAAGCAGGGTCACCAAAAGCAGGTTTCTCATAGCAAGTTTGGAATATCTCCAAGGCTAGAGACTTCACAGCCTTTCTGGGCAACACGTTTGCTCAGTACCACAATGGTTTAAGAATGTAGCTAGCAGTTAGGTTTCTTTCTAGTGTGCATGTTTATTAGTGGGTACCTGGTAACAAACAGGAGGCTTTTTGCATCCAGCAGGTATATTATTATTGATTTTTTGCTAAAATTGCAAATTTAAACATGAAAGGCTACTCACAGCAACCATTGGTAGCACATTGCATCGTTTAGGAGTCTACTTGTTTGAGTTTAGGGAAATTCAGGATTGAGATAGCTGGCATTAGTGCTTGGACTGGAAAAGGAGTGACTTGAACAGCCATGAGCAGGAATTTCAGAGCATCTGCAACTAACCAGATGCTTATATTATAAGGACCTACATGAGGAAAGGTCAAAAAGCATGTAATTCTAGACAGTTTGGGGTGAAACAAGATATATTTATGTATAACAGACAAGAAATGTAATGCATTGATGTTGAAGTCAAAGATGAACTTTTGTAAGAAAACTTTACCTTCAAGTTCTGACCGAATATTTTTAGACCAATATTTCTAACATTTATTTGTTGGTGTTGAGTTGTTAATTTCTGTAGTGTGCTCCTGGAGTCTCCTGGAGCCCCAGGTTTCTCTTCCTTTAAAAATCGCAGATTTCCCATGGAAGTGGTGAACAACTTTGGTATGTTCAAATGAAATGGATTTTGAGAGAGAGACAGTTTATCTAAGAAGACCTCAAAGTATTTGGAAATTCCGTGAATGACTACTAGGTTTTGAAGCGACTACTCTATAAGTGTGAAATTCAGGACTTTAAGACAATAAATACAGCTGCATTTAAAACTGATTGCATACATATGTAAAAGCAGATTTGAATTTCATATTACACATTGAAATAAACACAGAATATGCATTTATTTCATGATGAAATCATTTCTGTAAATGAAGGTATTGGATGTCTAATTTATTCAGCTATTAGTTCCAATCTCCTGACTCCCACTCAGACTTTTCTCATTTGCTTAGCTTTGCACCACCAGCTGTCTTGCTGAAACTTCATTGTGGGTGTCCTGCTCCAATCTGCAGCGAAGTACAATGAAAATCACATCTGACTTTATTACTGAACAGTTGGAGCAAAGTAGTAGAACCTGCCCTGGCACATACAAAAATTTGACTGACTTCGGCTGCCAAGGTTCTCACCTGAGTTATTCTCAAACTGTCTTTCCAGTTTCCCTTTCCTTTCAATATTTAGATTATTAACAAAAGTTTCTGATTCCTCCTTTACAGTAGTTTACACACTTCTTCCTGTCTAGCATGAAAACCATGGTTTGTGTCGTAGCTGTCAAGTTTCCTTGATAATGGTGCAAGTTTTTTCTTTTGGCTTCTCTTATTTTAAGTTCTTCTAAAGTGTTATTGACTAAAAGTCTTTGTCTCTTACCCATGCACTTACTATTTCTTTACCTCTTATTGTTATACTTTGACTTTTCCTGCTGTTCTTTTTGCCAAGTTCATGATTCTGTAATCCTGTGTTGTGCCTTTCTCATGCCCTTTATAGCCACCGTCTTTTATTGCTTATGTTAAAACACATTACCGATTGGAAAGCAATAATTTCAAATTGGATGTGGGGAGAATGAAAGGCATTTATTTAGAAAAGAATTTATGTTAATTTTGTTCTCTAACATTTTCCCCTGTACAGCTGCTTGATCTTAAGATATTCTTCTTACAAATTTCTTACAGGATAGTTCAGTCTTCGTAATTGAGTGAATTCCTTTTCCAATATAGAACTTTCTAAATGTCTATATTCTATATTTCTAGCTGATTATGGAAAGAATATAGCAGGCTTTACAAACTGTCTCAGGAAGCAGATTGCATGCATTGTAAAACCATTATAAAAAGCGCTGATTTTAAACATTTTTATTAATTCTTCTCATTTAAACTTCTATTTAAAATGCAGTAATACATGCACTCTGTCTCTTTTAACTCACTAGAGAGAAGTGTGTAACTAAGAGCAGAAAGCGATACGTGTAGTGCCACAAGATCAGACCCCTTGAACTGTTTCTCTGAACCATCTGATATTGTGGTCCCCTTGGGGAAGAAGGATAGTTGGTATCTTGGTTTTGTACAGGAGTCTAGAGAGAAAACACACCATACGTAATGTGTTCAGTCACAGATGTCTCTCTAATCTGTCTAGGTATTCACACTCCACTCACCATGGCACATGACTGCCTAGCAACAGTTGCATAAAATAATGGAAAAAATTATATAAACAGGTTTGACGACTGGTACTCTATTCCATTTTTCTTTCACATACATCAGAACCTTGTCATGTATTTTTTTGGTTACATGTTAATTAATTTTTCTAATTTTTTGTTAAATTTTATTTTGCCAAAACCACTCCCATGAGCCATTAGCAACAGAAACTAACACTTCCCAAAATCACCTGGAGTAGGCTTTCTGAAGTAAGAAAAGACATCTGAGGGACCATCCATTTTGTTAAACACTTATATATAGTTTTTGATAAAGCTAGGCAAAAAGCATGAGCTACTATAGTTAAATCTAAATCATCAATGCATATGCTCGATAGCTGGAGTAAATTTTTGCCCCCTTTGAACTAGTTATTGGAAGATACATGCAACATGGACTGAACAAAGGTTTAAACTGTAAAAATATATCATTACATTCTTTTTGATGCCCATCTGTAAAGTTGATGATCAAGTGGAGTGTTAAAGACGTTAATGTTGGAAACTTGGTTGTATATGAGCTCTGCTCCATGAGCCTACCCTTGACGAGTACATGTGCATATGTGAATGCCTGTCTTCTAGGTAGTTTTTAGGAGGGATTATTTTTCATGCATTTTATCTACATCAGTCCACATTTCATCCACCATTTCTTGTATGCTTTTGAGAGACCATTTAAAATTAGTCTTGGAGCCAGGTGTAATTTTTTTACTTAGATACTTGCTGAAAATTGCACATTCAGAGAATGTGAAGATGTGTATATTGATATAGCATTTGTTTATTTGCCTAAAGCTATTCTGGATGGAGGCAAAATGAGTTCTAAAAACTATTTTATTGGTTCTGACTGTTTTTGAAATAACATGTCTGTATCAAAGTTGCCTTATTCCTAACAGAAAAAAGAGGAGGGGGGGGGGGGGGGGGGGGAAAAGTTGAGTCTCCCAAAGTGGAGTGTATAATTTCAGATCAAGTAGAACATTTTACTGAATCTATGCCTTCAGTTTTCAGTTCGTCAGGAAAAATAATTTTTTTAACCCAATCTGAAAATATTTTCTTGTTTTTTGTTGTTGCTGTTGGAATTTTTTGGGGGGGATGCCTATTTTTTTTTTCTTTTTTTGGTAGAGCTAGGAATTTTGTCTTATCAGTTGCTTAGGTACTACAGCCTTGAATTTTTGCTCTTTCTTTCTGCTTCCATTTTTATGTACAATCATATCACAACTTTTGATTAAGAATAAAATGATTTGGTTCAGATCCTCATAATGATTTTCAGTACTTATATTTGTTTTTATTGATGTTCTGCATCTCCAAGTATCCTAAACAGTAACAAATACTTAGACATGAAGTATTCTCAGTAACTAAAGAGAATTTAAGCAGTCAGAAATGCATTAATTTTCTTCAGTTGTTACCATTATTATTAGCTTGTTCAGAGAAAGGAATATACAATAATTCAAAATACTATTCATATCAGGAAGATGACTAATTCTTGTGGTGAATCCCCATAAGTTTTGCTTATACTTACAATAAAATTAATAGAAATGGCTCTATTAAATCTTTGTTTGTTATGTGACAGTAAAGGAAGCTATTGATTGAATTGAAATATTCCCTGCGGTTTAC